CAGCTTCGCTTGTCTGTGATGGCACACTGCTTGCTTGACTGTGCTGCTGCGCCAGCAGCTGCGCGTTCTGCGCCTGCATCATTCGCTGCTGCTCTTGCACCATAGTTAGAAGTGCAGCTTGTTGCTGCTGCATCATTGCGAGCAGCTGGCTGACATCGACCGAACTACCAGACGTCGCATTATTGTCGAGCAGCACACCATCTGTGGAATCAGAAGCCTCGTCTCCGTCCGGCGACTGATATTCTCTCGTAGACCGGAGCCTCATACCAGATTCACTGTTCGCCATTTGCGCTTTCGTCCAATGCGCCGCCGGATATCACGAGAACAAACCTAACTATAAAATTATGCTTAGGTTTACATATTCGCTACTACGGGTCCTACCGACCGCGCCATGTAGGATATATACAGTCGTGAGGTTCGATCCAAAGTGTATTATCCAACTTATACGGCCTTGTATTATCCATCGTTGTCTCACGTATTCATAAATAAATAATACGCGCGTGCGCATTCTCCTTCTGACTCCTTCACCCGACGACACATGTTCGCTGGTATGGCTCACACGGTCTTGGTGATCGCTCTGTTCAGGTCACAGAGACTTTCCTTGTAGACCTGGCCCTTGAGATGAAATGATAAAGAAGTCACTGCACAGCAGCAAGGTCACCGAAATGGTGTGCCCTCAGCGGAAAAGAAATCGTGGGTCCACTTTGGTTCGAGGAAGGGAGCGGCGATACCGTGACCGTCAATCAACAGCGCATACCAGGCGGCGCTGAGGAAGTTCTGAGAGAGAGTCCAAACGAAGCATGGCAGCTCATCATAGACCTTATGTGGTTCCAGCAAGACGGTGCGCCTCCTCACATCGCAAAAACAACGCTCAAGTGCATCGAAAACCACTTCGGTGACCGGCTGATATCCCGCGGTGCCAGTCGGAACTGGCCTACCTGCTCATCCGACCTGACCCCTATGGATGTTTTACTGTGGGGTCATCTCAAAGGCCAGGTCTACAAAGAAGGTCCAGAAAGCCTCTGAACTGAAGAGAGCGATCAGCAAGGCTGTGTGAGCCATACAAGCGGGCTATCGTGTCAGCAGCCAGGCTGGTCGCCCTGTGCCTGTCTCGCGAAGGTGGTCACTTCGAACATTTGCTGTGAGAGACTGAAAACGAGAGAAAGCATATGAGAGTTATGCCATTATGAATTTCCACGAAATGTACTCTTGTTTGGTATCATTCCCAGTCACATGCATGCAATGATGCATGTTTTATACGAGTTTAAAATGTTTCCATCCTTTTTGGTCCACCCTGTATAAGTAATTAGTGCAACTCTAGCTGCCAGCTTCTAAGAGGTACACTGAACCTAATTTGACCAAATCTGCACCTAATCTGCACCAAATGTGCACCAGATGTGTACCAGATGGTCGTCGTGAAAACGGCTACCATTCCGCACCGAAGACAGTGCTTACAATTACTTCACGAGAGAAAATTACCAGATGTCGTTTAACTGATTTGTTAAACATCTTGTCTAGACGATTAACAAACTGTTAAACGTCTTTATAGTAGACATTTTGTCTAGTTTGAATTATGTCGTTTTATATAAAATGTATTTTTTACCTTTAGTGCCCGGAACATATCGGCGGTACGGGATAAAATTATCAAACCGCGAGTAGGAATAATTTTTTTTTTAACGTCTCGTCTATCGGCTCGACGTTTAAAAGATTTGTTCAACCCACTCGCGGTTTAATATATATCTAACCGCGAGTAGGTAGAACCGATAGGCGAGACGTTTAAAAGATTTTCTGCCTACGAGCGGTTTAGTAATTGTGTATCCCGTACCGCCGAAATCTTTTGGGCGTTTAAAATCAGGGATGCGGAGCCGTGGAAATTTCAGATGGCTCCGGCTCCGGCTCCGGCTACGGAGAAAAAACTAGTCGGCTCCGGCTCCGGGTGAAATGTCATGGCGGCTCCGGTGGCTCCGGCTCCGGCTCCGGCTCCAGTACTCAGTGCGTACAAATCCAGTACTGTCTATACAAATAAATACGGGTGGAAGAAAAAAGACGAAGGGATTGGTTCACGTTGCTTCTGTATTTGCATAACAAGGCTATTATGAATACCACATGTTTTACTGCCTTGTACATAGGTACTGTAAAACGGAACTAGGTCAATAATTTTTTCCTCTTCAAAAAAAGGAGCCGGAGTCGCCTCTTTTTCGACGGCTCCGGCTCCGGCTCCGGCTCCGGGCTATATTGTTTTACGGCTCCGGCTCCGGCTCTGGCTCCGGGCAAAATATGCCGGCTCCGGCAGCTCCGGCTCCAGCTCCGGCTCCGGCTCCGCACCCCTGGTAAAAATACATTTAATATAAAAAACAACATTTCAGACCAGACTAAATGTCTACTAGACGTTTAACAGTTTGTTAATCGTCTCAAGGCTATAATGGTCTAGACATTTAACAAATCAGTTAAACAACATCTGATAATTTTCTCTCTTTGCACGTGAAGCAATTGTAAACACTGTCTACGGTACGGGATAATAGAAGACAAAATGTAAAATTCATAAAATGTTTTAACCCGCGCCCCAGTGGCGGTCTCGGCCAACTTCGCCCTAGTGGGGGGGGGGGGGGGGCATATGTTACCACACACCTCTATTAACTCAAAAACTAAGAGGGCTAGAAAGACGCGGTAAAAAGCAGTCGACAGCTCTTAATGCGTACGTTTGAAAGTATTCGGTCATTTTTCATCTTAGAGCAACATTAGGGTCACCAGAGGTCATCAAAGGTCAAAATTTGCCAATGGTCATTATATTTTTCAGAAAACATGCCGTTATCTCAGGAACTATGATAGCTAGAAAAACGCATGGAAAGGTACTCGATAGCTTTTTGAGCTCTTCTTTTGATAAGGTCATAATCAAAATTGACCTCAGGTCAACGGTTTAGCCTCCAGAGGGCAAAAACTCCAAAAATAGCTGTTTTTACGAAAAGTGTTTTCGACAATAACTTTCGACTACAAAAAGCCACGACATTTATATTTCCAGAGTCGTGTTCCTCTCGCCGAGACGCGTCGAATGAACTATAATTTGACCTTGAAAGGTCAACTTGAAAATTTGAACTCAGGTCAAGGTCATGACCTGACCGGAAAAGGTCATGTTGCATATCAGTCGATGCGTCTCAACAAGACAAACACAATGAGACCATCCCCAGCGTTCTATCTCTTTCCAATCGCGAGTTATTGGCAAAAAACTGTTTGTAGCCTCAAATGACCTCGGATGACCTTTCTAGAGGCTATCAGCAAAAATGACACCTTGGTCGTCACGGGTGGTCCAAATCATTGAGATTCTGAAATATTTGGACTGTTCCGATGCGTACACACGGATCTAGAATCATTTTCATTTTTCTCCATTGACTTATAATGGTAAGGTCACGCCACTGACCTGACCTTAGGTCACGCATATAAAAAATCCGAGATATACAAATTGTAGGCACCCATAACATCATGCAATCCACCAAGTTTAAAACCTTTCTGACAAACACTGCATGCTGGACATGATTGCAAACTTTTTTAGGCTTGGTCAGTTAACTTGACCTGGTGACCTGACCTGACATGACCTGGGGTAAAAAATTCACACATTGTCCAAAATTGATGTACCAAAAGCTACCCCAAGCGGCACGGCGCTACGCGCCGCGGTTTTTTATTCACACGCAAAAAACGCGACAGGGTGGTAACAAATGCCCCCCCCCCCCCCCCACTGGGGCGAAGGTTAAATCATTTCAAGCGGCCTTATTCTCGCGCATGAGCCATGGTTTCTCCCTCTGCAGCCAAATGCAACGTTTACGAGTACACGACGCTTTCACTGTAGGATGATTCACCTGAAAGTGTCCATAGACGCTTTCCTACACACAGCCTCTACACGGCAGGGCTATAGGGCCCTGGGCAGCCCTTAGAGTCGAACTTCTAACGACTGTGTTCTAACACCGCCTCCTCCAAGACGCTTCAGACGCAGTAGTCCAGTGGGCTAAAGTCGGGCAAATTGGGCGGCCATTCGTCCCTGCCGACGAAATGCATCCGTCTGTTAAAAAGGGCTGGTTTGCCATGCTTTTGTGAGGGAGGGTTCGGTCTTGTTGGGGATAAACCCAACGAAATAACGTTTTTCAGATGCAGATAGCAGTTAAGTTCCTCAACAGCTCACAGGCTCACGACTGACAGGCAAGTCAGTGAGCCCAGCCTGGCTGAGTATTGAGTGAATTTCGATAAAGAATATTTGAATCTTTCATCTCCAGGGTACGCCAGCGCTGGCCATTGTTTTCATTGAGGAAGTAGACATCTAATGGCAGTCTGTCAGGAGCGATGTCAGCTTTTCCCGTTCCGTACACGCGGTTGTTTTGGATGTTTGTTGGTATCTCCAATGCCCTAAATTAAGAAATTCGAACATCAGCGATAAAAAGGGTATCTAAACAGTGGTTCTTTTCATCAGTGAAAACCAATTTTTACATATCGTGTGCTGATTTTTTTTTTGTAAGGCTTCCTGGCTCAGGTTTTCCGTTTCTCTTTGACCGCGTTGGTGATGAGAAGATTTCTTTGAAGGCCCTCAACTTCTTGAGCTCCAGGTGTCGAAGAATTGTGCTCCTCAGGTCGGATAAGCTACATGCGATCTTGCGCTGAATGATATGTGATTGTTTGTTCTTCTCTTGATATGGATTACCTTTCCCGTTACGATGCATGACAATTGGTATTACAGAAATCGTATCTACCTGGCGAATATTTCCCAATAATGCTGGACAAACCGGACATCATTAAATTAGTTACTGGCCGAAAATGAGCACTAGGTATTTTGCCGAGTTTAAAAATGGTTGTAAATTCGCACAATCAGGCAATATTTAACTCGTAATCCGAACTTTTGATTTTATGCAAATCATTGAAAGCAGCAGGGCCTCAGTGACCTAACATAACGTTCAAAACAGAATGATCCTGTGAATTTTCAAACCCTGATAATCCCTTCAAGTTATCAGAAGACATTCGCCGATCAACGGAAAACAAAGCTCCATTTGCTTGAATGTTGTATTATAAACAAGGCGAGAATCGTCGACACAATTGACAAGCACAACTTAATGCCACTCTTAACGCCAAACAAGTCAACTTGAACCATCAGATATCTGTTGCGGTCGGCAGCGATCAGTAGGATAATCCGTTGGGGGGGGGGGGGCAGCATCAATCCCGGGTGACAGAACAATCTACTTGAAATAGCGGGCCCACGAAGAGTACGGGTAGCCATAGAACCTTCTGTAAATCATGGCCGAATCAGCCTCCTGGTCTTCGGCCGGGGCCTCGCGCTTCTTCAGGTAGTGGATGTACGAAGAGTAGGGGTAGCCAAGGTAGCTGTTTAAGTACAGGGCAGGGTCCGCCTGCTGGTCTTCAGCCGGGGCCTCGCGCTTCTTCAGATAGTGGATGTACGAAGAGTAGGGGTAGCCAAGGTAGCTGTTGTAGAGCAGGGCAGGGTCAGCCTGCTGGTCTTCGGCCGGGGCCTCGCGCTTCTTCAGATAGTGGATGTACGAAGAGTAGGGGTAGCCAAGGTAGCTGTTCAAGTACAGGGCAGGGTCTGCTTGCTGGTCTTCAGCCGGGGCCTCAGGGGCAGACCGCTTCTTTCTCTGCGGATCAGAAAGCCATGTCAGATTAGGATGGAATCCCTTCGCAAAATGCTTTTAACGAGTGATCTGGGAAGTGACACGCTTACTTAGAAAACTGAGGCGAGCCGGCATATTATTTGACATGTCCCTGGAAGGGAACTGCTAAAAGTTATTTCCGTTACATGTAGCACGCATGGGTACGTTCAGGAAAAAAAGCTGAAACCACCACCAGCGTCTGCAGAATCGTGACAAATTGACTTTAATTACAGGGCTGCGGAGTCGGAGTCGGAGTCGGAGTTGGAGTCGGTCGGAGTCGACAGCTCTGCCCGGAGTCAGAGTCGGAGTCGGAGTCGCCCAAATCTTACCGACTCTGACTCCGGAGTCAGGGTAAACGCTGCATGGCTCAACGCCATGCACTGCCTGTTTGATTGACGATACTGCACTCGAAATTAGATTTTGTCGAAAATAGGTCATTTTTCTGTTTTGGACGAACGTTTTCAGCGAAAGGAGCAGAAGACGGTGAATGCCCCAGAACCTGCTTTTTAAATCTGCATGTTATTTTTAATGCATATTTGGCGCAACGCAAAGCCTTTGGAACGCACATATGGGATCGTTTCAGGCAAGATAAAAATATCTCCATTGAGCTTCAATATCATGATATGGGTATTCATAGAACCGTCCGGAGTCGGAGTCGGAGTTGGAGTCGGAGTCGATTTTTGAAGCCGGAGTCGGAGTCGCAGTCGGAGTCACCCTAAAATCCATCGACTCCGCAGCCCTGTTTTAAAGTATCTCCCGGATACTGCAATTAAATTAAGATTTCTTGTATTGTATTGTATTGTATTGTATTGAACAATCATGAGCGATCCACATTCTAAAAGTGCGTGGCTTGCTCTGAGAAGAGCACACGACGAATGTATGTTATTCTCACTGTAAAGGCGGAACTACATTAGAGTGTTTGTGGCCACTTACCCAGATGTAGGGGCTAACGCCGCCGTAGTAGGTATTCGGGGTGATGAAGTAGTACGCCGAGGCGCAGGAGATCACAGCAAACAACAGCACCTGGAAATCGGAACAAATATTATCAGTAATAAGGGGGTGCAGAAAATTATATGCCAGTAAACACATAAGCCAGAGGACACATATTGTTAAATAAAGATTAAAAACATGCGTTTCACGTTACACTTTACTCACAATGCACTTCATAATGAGCTGTGAAGTAGTTTGAGCTGATGATAATGATGCCTGGTTGAAGATGAAAACTGCTTTTATACTGGGTTCCGAGCGACACACACCTAAACAGCAGGCCAATCAGAGGCGTTTGTTTTGGGGCGTCTCCTCCACTCTTCAGATAAGAATAAACCAGTTTTCTGAAGCAGGTTCGTGTGGAATTAGATGTGTGCCCGCATCATTTCGCAAGTGACAAGCTCATAATGCAAGACAACTCTAAAAACGCTGTTTTGTTGCGCTGCCTACTAAGACAATTAAGAAATGATTTGCTAAGTGACTTATTCATGTTGAGCTCTATAGGTAAAAAAGAACGGCTACATATTGCGCTATATGGGGAGCGCGTGTCTCTCAGGCGCTAAGCCGCTCTGGCACTTGGCAGAGAACTCAATAACGAGAACGAGAATGGTGACGGATGATGGTATAATTAAATCAGTGGCATGAATTAAAACGATTGCACCCAACCCGCTAAAAACATGAAGGGCAAGTACAGTAATGATCACAGAAAGTCGTTGCGTCGCTACAAAAGCACAAAAGAAATGTGTAGGTATATAGGTTTACCGTCACGCTTTTTCTTTGTCGGTTGTAGTTGTTAATCGTTAAAGTGACTATCCCACCTTTGCATGAAAATTGAGTTGAGATAGCCAAGTGGAAGTGGTTATCGGAAAAACATGGGCCCTGATATCAGCCCTTGGTGGTGATAGAGCTTTGCAACAATTTTCATTAGACTTGATGAAAAAAGGCAAATCCAACGGTACCTAATTTTAAGCCTCGCCCGGCGAGGGAGGATTGATGCACCCACCCTTCCTGAAGGTTTTTCGCAAATAACGTAAAAAAACGGTAGTGCCGCCAAGTTTGGCATACCCTCTCGGGCAACCTTTTTGCACCTTTCCTGAAAATTTCAGGTCTCAGTCATTTCAGGTCAGGTCACCAGGTCATAAAAACCGGTACAAGGCCAGGATAAGATTGGACAAGTTTGGCGGCAACGGAATCACAGAGCTTTTCGTTAATAGTGTGAGAACCGTGGCACGTAGCACCACCAAAGTTCAGACACAGCTTGGGGAAATCATTTGTCACGATTTCTGGTAGTTTTCAATTCCAGTGACCTCAGGTCAGGTCCTCCCAAGGTCACCAAAACCGGTACATGGTCAAAATGGCATTGAAAATACACTATTTTGTTAATAAAGTATAAAGTTGGTAATCGATTTGATTCAAACTGGCAGGATTGTGCTAATCTGACAGAGTGGCATAACCTGCATCCCGGTTTTTCAAATCTGGATGACCTGAGGTCATCTAGAGGTCACGTCAAATTCTGAGAAATTTTGGCCGAATAGCTCAAATTGTAAAAAAGTATGCTCCATTTCAACGTGTTTGTCTTGTAATATGTACATCAGCTTACATCAATACGTGATGAATTTGGTGTTTGATTGCTGCAAAAATGCTAGGGTCAGGTCAACTGAGGTCAAATGAGCTCAAACTACGTCTTCGCTGATAGCCTGGCACACCATGAAGATAGAGCTTCAAAAATGGTGTCATTTTGTGCTCCTTGTGATCAGCCGAGTCGAATGATAGGTATGCGATTTGATGCATTTGGATGAACTTCGGAACTAATGAAATCAATTTAAGTTCACATAACTTTAAGTAAAATTTCAACTTTAATTTAACTGGTAACAAAGTATATCATTGGCTGCGCATTGACGTGCTGAGTTTACTGGTGTTTTTATTTTTGCTCTATCTTAACCAGAAGAAAAGTTATTGGTGAAAAACGTTTGAACTGTTTTAGCAAAAAATTTACATTTTACCCCCAAAACCCCCTAAATATTGACCCAGACTCACCAAATTTGCATAGGGACGAGGCGGCGAGATCTTCTATGGGCCCACCTACCCTGTAAATTTGGTGTTTCTAAGTACCATAAGAGCCAATCGCCAGGGGGGAGGGGTCGTAAGTACCCCCCCCCCCTCGCCGCTCGCGTTATGGAAAAGGCCATCGCCTGGCGAGGGTTTACTGCTCAGGTCAATCATTGACCTTACAGTTCAGGTCAAACTAAAAATGTTGCTGTTTGTTGCAAAAATGTCGCGAACAAAATAATGTACATCGTCGAATAGCATGTGTTCCATGATACATGGGAGGTAAAACTGGCAACAAAAAAAAAACGAAATCAAGGTGTCAAAATTTCACAATACCTATAGTCATTAGCCAACGCAAGTGATTGGGAATTGGTTATATGGGTCATGACATGACCTGAAGACAGAATCGATCTCCGAAATCAAAGACCACAGACACTTGAACTTTTTCAGCGAACGTTGCAAAAGGACTAGGAAGCAGCTACACGAAAATCAGACCGTAGGTTATCTAAAAACTAAGAAAGATAGAAAGACACAAAAAATTGTTCGCTATAAGATCTTTCAGAAATATGCGGGTCATTTCTCGATTAGGTCATCGGTGAGGTCACTGGAGGTCACCGAGCGTAAAGTTAGCACGAAAATGGTTCCCGATTTTAACAGCTTTTTCACAAATCGGCGCATAGAACAAATAGAGCTGAGCACCTCGGAAAAGTGCTTTCGATAGCTCTTTCATAGTTCTTTCTCAGTAATGTCCTCAGCTGCGACCTATGGCCAACAGTGTAGCTTCCATGAGGGAAAAAACTCAAAATTTGGCGTTTTCGCGGCGGCGGAATTCGTTTTCTTGCAATTGCTTTTGGCACCAAGCTTGCAATAAGCTTATTTTACCGGCATCGCATTGCTATCGTTGAGAAACGTCGATTATACTATACGCTAACCTGTAAAAAAATCAAAATTTGACTTGGCGGCTTAACCCGCGCCGGGCCGGGGGTGTTTGAACCCCCCTGCGGTTTTTCGAGGATATCAAAAACGGCAGCGCTCCGCGCCGACCTTTTCTTGTCAGGTCATGACCTTGACCTGAGGTCAAATTTCCAAGTTGACTTTTCAGGGTCAAATTATAGTTCATTCGACGCGTCTCGACGAGAGGAACACGATGCTGGCAAAAGTAATGTCATGGCTCTTTTGAGTCAAAAGCTATTGCCGAAAAAACACTTTTCGTAAAAACGGTTATTTTTGGAGTTTTTGCCCTCTGGAGGCTAAACCGTTGACCTGAGGTCAAATCTAAGAGCATCATTCAGAAAAGTCTGTAAAAGGGCTATCGAATGCGCTTTTTCGCGGTGCTGTAGCTCTATCGGTTCTCGAGATAGCCGTCGGCAGTTTCCAAAATGTTGAAGTAGTCAACATTTTACCTTTGGTGACCTCTGGTGACCTGACCTTTGACCTGAACCAAAAAATGACCGGAGTGTTTTCGTCCTTATTTTGGACTTTCTTTCGATTGCCGCTTACTGCATGTCGCTACGTGGCCCAGGAGCCGAGTTAGAAGGGGGGTGTTCAGACAACCCCCCCCCCCCGGCCCGGCGCGGAATCTCTGAGCACCGGCCCGGCGCGGGTTAAACTGAGTTCAAATTTTCAAGTTGATATTTCAAGGTCAAATTATAGTTCGTTCGACGCGTCTCGACGAGAGGAACACGTTGCTTTCAAAAGGAATGGCATGGCTCTTTTGAGTCAAAAGTTATTGCCGAAAAACACTTTTCGTAAAAACGGCTATTTTTTAGTTTTTGCCCTCTGGAGGCTAAACCATTGACCTGAGGTAAAATATGAGGGCATGAGGCGAAATAGCGTTAAAAGAGCTATCGAATACGCTTTTCCACGACGCTGCAGCTCTATCGGTTCCCGAGATAGCCGTTGGCAGTTTCCACAATATTGAAATAGCCCACATTTTACCTTTGGTGACCTCTGGTGACCTGACCTTTGACCTGACCTAAAAAATGATCTACGTGTTTTGGTCCTTATTTTTGACGTTCTTCGATGCCGCTTACCGCGTGTCTCTACGTGGCCCATGGGAGCCGAGTTAGAAGGGGTGTTCAGACCCCCCCCCCGGCCCGGCGCGGAAGTCGCGGAGCACCGGCCCGGCGCAGGTAAGTTACGGAAAAGGTCAAAAAGCATATCAACCATTTCGTATCGTCGAGCTTAACCCGCGCGGGGCTGGGGTCTCCAGCCGAACGCGCGGGGCTGGGGGGGGGGGTAAATTTTACCCCCCCTGTTATCTCCCGAACTAATGGTCCGATTTGGAAAATTCAAACGCCAATCGAAAGCTCTCATCACGAACTACTAAAAACATGTACTTAATTTAAATTTTGAGGTCAAGGTCAAGGTCAGGTCAAGGGTACAAATTACAAGTTTCTACAGTATCGGCCTTGCACCGTAGTTGCCGAAGAATGGAGTCATGGACTGAGACTGATCGCCCAAAACGTGTTCTTAGGCTACCAAGACAATATTCGTTGCATACAATATCATTCAGAGGTCAAGGTCAACGTCAGGTCAGGTCAGGTCAGGTCACCAAAAAACAAAATATAGAAAAGGGCATGTGCGACACATGTTTTATGGGTCATTTTACTCATAGAATTCAATAGGCACACTCAATAAGTGATATGGACCACCTCTGGATGAATTTCAGGTCGAGGTCAGGTCAAGGTCAGGTCAAGTGAGGTCAAATTTTGAAGTTGGTTGTTAAGGCCTAAAAAGGTGTCTATCTGATGCAGTTTTTCACGGCGAATCGAATGGTGCTATTTTTGTTTCCGTACGAGGTCTAGAACTTCCAAAAAAGTCATTTTTCAAAAAATTTGTGTGTCGTGACGTCATAAAATTTTGAATAACTCCCACATTTTTGAACCGATTCTTCTAAAATTTGGTATGTAGGTGCACATAGACCACTTCTCTGACATATATTCCGGTTTTTTCGATAGACTCAAAATTTTGGATTTTATAATGATTTTCCCAAAAAAGTCAGTTTTTTGAAAAAATTTAGGCCAAAATCCAAAATTTTCAAAAAACCGAGATAGCCATTTGATAGACAAAGTAAAATTACGTATAACCTTTTTTGTTACGTCTTGATTCCTTTAAAAATGAAGATGTTAGCGGCGTTTGAACTTTTGCCGTTTTTGAGGCGAAAATGGCGAACATGACGTCACTAAAACGTCAATTTCTCAAAAATTTTCCGACGGATTTCGCTCAAATTTTCAGGGAACGTGTCAAATTGATGTAAGAAAAGGTACTGAAAGTTTGGCGGCGCTGCGCGCCGCCGTTTTTGAGATATCGCAAAAATTCGCGAGGGGGGGTAAAATTTACCCCCCCCCAGCCCCGCGCGGGTTAACGCATCTGAGGTATTTCTATCGTTTTATTATGTCTCTAACTAAAATTATTTTCAAAATATGCTTGAGACCTTTCATGACCTGATATGACCTCAGGGGCATTGAAAGGAGCTACAAATGCAATTTTCCAATTCAGTGTGTCATGTATGTGTGATTACCTACCTGTAACTCGATGTTGGAGTGTGTAGTACGACTTTCATCCAAAAAGAGCTGTTCAGTTTTCTCCCATTGACTTATATGTAATGAAGTGGTCACAAAATTGACCTGGCTTTAGGTCACCGATATGACAATTCTAAGATATACAAATACTTGGTGCTGATTTCCTCATCCGATTTCCCCGACTTTCCAACTTCTAGGATGTAAAGTGTAGGAATGACAGAATTACATGATGAAGTTTTTTGGAGGCAGGGTCACTAACTTGAACTGGGGAACTGGCCTTCTGGGCCTCGTTTCATAAGGCGAGTCCGTAACTTGCGCCGTTTTTTGGGCAGGTATTGCAAGCGCGTGTGAAGTGATAAATTTATTTCCCCTTCTCCCTTCTGTTCTTGCTTGCAAGATAAATAAATTCAACGATTCAAACTACCGTCATCGCTTCACATGCGCTTGCAATACAAGACCAAAAACCGCCGTAAGATACGGACTCGCTTTATGAAACGAGGCCCTGGGGTCAAAAATGTCACATACGATGCGAAATTGATTTGTCATAATATACCAAGTTTCGCGGCGCTCTGCAATGTGTACAGCTTTTTAACACACGCAAGACAAACTTTCGGATATGGCCAAAAACGCATTCCCCTCAACCGGAAGAAAGCACCTAACCCTTGAAATTGGGTATATTTTTATCTGATTGTGCTCAGGGATTCAGTTTTCGGCGGAAGTGTTTTCCATGTTTTTTTTTTACCGCTAAATGCTTTAAAAAGTTTGCCTCACAAACTTTAACCCGCGCCCTGATGGGGGAGGGCCATTTTGGCCCCCCCCCCTGTGGTTTTTCTTAAATAGCGAGAAAACGGCGGCGCGCAGCGCCGCCAAATTTTGGGTACCTTACCGGGCATCAATTTGACACCTTCACACAAAATTTCAAGTCACAGGTCACCTCAGGTCAGGAGTTATTGAGGTCAAACTGAGGTCATGTTCGAGCAAAAATGAGCAAAAAACATGACATCTTGAAACGCTCACCAATTCTACAGTTAACAAGCAATTTTAAAGTTCTTTATGTGGTTGTGTAGAGAAAAGACGGCGCTACAAAACTGCTATCTCGGATTTTCGAAATTTTGGGATTTTGACCCCCAAAAATCAAAAAAATTGATTTTTTTATAAAAACTCAAAAAATTTCCAAAATTTTTTCGAATTTCGAAAAAACCGGAACATATGTGATAGTCCCTGCGCTCTTCGATATACATACCAAATTTTAGATCGATACCTCTTTTTTTGGCCAAGTTATAGCGAAAAAACTGTAAAAAATTGATGACGTCAAATTTTTGAACTCAATTTTTAGCAATTCTAGACCTCGTAACGCAAAACGGAGACCACCATTGAACTCCCCGTGACGAGCTGCATCGAATCGATACCCATTTTATGCAAAAATATCAACTTTGAAATTTGACCTAATTTGACCTGACCTTGACCTAACCTTGACCTGACCTTGACCAAAACGTGACCTAAGCTGGCCCTAAAGTCTGTCTGACCCACATAATCGCATTTGTCATGTAAAATGGACCATAAAACATGTATCACACGACACTTTCATATTGTGACCCCCCCAGTGACCTGACCTCTGTGACCTGACCTGGTATCAGTGACCTCAAATAGCAAAATATGTGTTTGAAGAACATTTCTCCATCGATGATTGTCAATGAAATGCATTTTACTCGATTTTACAACGCATTTCTTGAAATGCCTGTAAACGGTGAAAATTCGACCTTTGACCTGACCTGTGACGTCATCAGTTTGACCGAGGTCAATGAAATTGGGTCACAAGGTAGTTCCCCGCTGGGGCTATCCAACACCGTTTACCGCTTGTCGCTATGTTGCGTGGTTCTCGAGATCTGAGGGGGGGGGGCCAAAATGGCCCCCCCCCCCATCAGACCGCGTTGCTCGGCAGACCCCATCTGGGCGCGGGTTAATAGATACGAAATCTCCAAATGAATCTCCAAATCTCCAAATCTCCCAAATGTTTTCTTTAAAAATGTATATGCTTTGCAAGCTGCAATATCTTAAAACGTTTCTTCTTTAGAATCAATTTTGCTCTCAATGGCCGTTTTCACGACGGGCTATCCAGATAGTAGGTACACCTAATTTGACCCAATCTGCACCTAATTTCTTTTACAGCAAATATCTTTATTTTATGAATTTATTTCAGTGTTTTCATCGATGATACTCTCTGATAATATGACAAAGCACTAAGCAGGGATATAAGCAATTAGCGTAACCCTAGCTGATAGCTACTAAGAGACACCCTGAACCTGATTTGACCAAATCTGCACCTAATCTGCACCAAATGTGCACCAGATGTGTACCAGATGGCCGTCGTGAAAACGGCTAATATCATCGCTGACTTCACACTGCTCTTGAACACAGCCATCTTCATGATTTAACAAATTCAGTGGGGGCAAACACATGGCCTTGCGCCCACTGCCTTGGGCCAGTTGGGGCAGCCTGCCCCCATGCACCACGGTGGTGCCGTCCATGAATCAAAATATAGCGTAACATTAGCGTAGCGCGCTTAACTAAAGTGTAAAACATCTAAATGTTCAGAAATCTACATAAAGTAATAGCAAATATGCATATTATGTAGATATGCAGGTATTAATACATGTAGATCACAGCAAGTGTTTATGCGTGGTGGGTGCTTAAATCCTGCAAACGCCAAACAGTGTCTGCTAGCTGCTGTTTTGTTTGAAAACACGACAACCCTCACGTTTCTACAGTGTTGTTGTTTCCGGCAAACGTGTTCTGCGCGTGGGGTGGAAGAACTGGTTAGCGTCCATTCGTGTGGTTTTCAGAGTCGCATACTTGTTTCTTTGTTGCTCTTCACAAAACACCTTTGCTAGCTATGCTTTGCAGTCGATTTTATCACCCACAAAAATAATGCGGGACGCGAGCATGCACACAGTTCCACATATTGGACACAAACGAGTCCCAAGAAAACTGGTTTTTTCTTATCTACAGGGAGTTGGAGACGCCCTTAAATGGTTGCTTCTGATTGGTTGGAAGTTTGGGCGTGTCGTTTAGAACTGCAAGTATAAAAGCAGATTTCATTTTCAGAAGGTATCATACTCGTCAAACCATAACTCATCTCAGCTCACGATGAAGTGCATTGTAAGTTGACACTGGGACATGGTCACCTCAATAGCTAGACTTTTGTCTTAAACCCTCGCCTCATCTGGCACGTGTGAGCAACGCAGGCTTATCGTGAACTATGACTTTTCATTTTTTTACTATATTTCCTCACTATTTTCTCATTTTAATATAACTAATCTATAAATGTCTCGTTTCTATTTCTGACTTTCACATACTGACAACATTTGTTCCGATTTTCAGGTGCTGTTGTTTGCTGTGGTCTCGTGCGCCTCGGCGTACTACTTCGTCACACCAAGTGCTTACTACGGCGGCGTTAGCCCTTACATCTGGGTAAGTACTCTATACCTTTTTAGCAAGTACAGTGGCAAGTACAGTGTATAAGTTACCAGACAATACGTCTAGAGCACAACATTGCCCACTGTAAATGTAACGTTATTTTGATTTTAAAGGGCTTAGTGAACAACTTCCATAATTATGCTATCGCCTTTCTTTAGGCGTTTCTTGAAGTTTGGACGTACTTTCTTTTTGAATCTGAACGCAAGTAAGCGTATAAACTTAGTACAAGTGTTTCAAGGTAGGAGTGGCAAGTCGTGTGCCGTCCCGGTTGACCTAAGACCCAAAAGAACGCCCTCGAGGTCCACAGTCCACACTGTAAATATAAGGCTGACGAATCTCGTCCTAACCTGATCTTGCTTTCTGATCCGCAGAGAAAGAAGCGGTCTGCCCCTGAGGCCCCGGCTGATGACCAGCAAGCAGACCCTGCCCTGCTCTACAACAGCTACCTTGGCTACCCCTACTCTTCGTACATCCACTACCTGAAGAAGCGCGAGGCCCCGGCTGAAGATCAGCAGGCGGACCCTGCCCTGTACTGGAGCAACTACTATGGCTACCCTTACTCTTCTTGGGCCCACTACCTGAAGAAGCGTGAGGCCCCAGCTGAAGACCAGCAGGCTGACCCTGCCCTGTACTTGAACAACTACTATGGCTACCCCTACTCTTCGTACATTCACTACCTGAAGAAGCGCGAGGCCCCTGCCGAGGACCAGCAGGCTGATTCGGCCATGTCTTACATAAGCTACTATGGATACCCGTACTCTTCTTGGGCCCGCTATTTCAAGTAGATTGACGCCTAACTCGTGTTGACACCGACCCATTGAATATGATCCCGATCGATGCTGGACACAATGCTGGATGATTGAGGCTCACGCGCGTCGCCACTGTGTTTGTCAAGTGTGTCTAATGACATTCACCTTGTTCATAATAAAACATTGCAGTATAATATGATATTTGGTTTGCCAATTATCGTTGATTTTTTTTTTTACCTATGATGTAACGATAAACATCATTTACGCCACATTAAAATGGGCCTTACCATAAGTTCAAGCATTAATTTCGGCTAGTCTAAAGTCGTAACACTTTCTACTACTCTGCCATGTCCTGTGAACCAGCAGCCAGGTAACAGCGAAATTTCGAAGAACTAGGGAATGGGTGCTATTTAAAAGAGGAGCACGGTGATGGTTCTTTATTTGGGAAATTTTTTTGGCTGGATCCTTGTCAAACCAATCATAGTAGTTGATTATATTATGTCGCCAAAAATGCATTCTTGAATCATTGCTGTCCGCCTACGATTCCCTCATCGCCGACGGCATTCGCCGATCCAATCGATCCACAAAGAGCTTGCGATCGATTCCCGGTCTGTGACCACTGCCGGCATTGCCACTGACCGTTCAGCGAGCCTGTATACATCCACCCCTGACGGTCGCGGGCCCTAAAGCAGCTTCAACACCGGCCATCGACGGTCCAGCGCCGCTATTACCTCTGATCCGTTATATAACCATGCCCAACAAGACTCCCCTTCGGTCCCCATCACCATTCTCGCAGCTGTTGCCGTAACAGGTCATGAGTCCACGGCAGCGGTGATCGATATTCAATCGGTAGAACGTCCGGCGTCATCGGAATCCGACCGATGACGACCCGGCGCCGGTGCGTCATCGCTCAATTGCACGGTGGGCCGGTCAAACACTCTGCACTCGGCACGGGTCGTGAGTCAGCGAGGCGTGTGGTGCAGGCGCACGACAGAGGCTTTGGTGAATGGATGGGCGCAGCCGCTACTGAGAGCTCCTGGGGCCGTTAATGGCAGTTGCTACTGCTAGAGCTTCTGGGAGCTGCTGGAGCTGCTGTAAGCTGTTAGAGCTAGTCAGAGCTATCCAGAGGCGCTGGAACCGCTGGAGCTATAGGTACTGAGCCACTATATGGTGCTGCTACTGAAAGCTGAAGAAGCTCTGAGAGCTGTTGGCACCGGTAGCTCCTGATAGCTGCTTCCAGGTCTGCTTCTGAGACTTATAGGGACTAATACTGATCATTGCAGAAATCAATATTGACAGGTGCTGAAGCCGCTACCGCTCCGCGGTGTATTTTATCTCGGCGTAACTGGGCAGAGGGCGTAAACGGTAAAGCGCTCTGTCACTATATGCTGGGCTCCGATTTAACGTGTCACCACTGAATGAACTGCTGCTAATGCCTTTCCGTGCCCACAGGGAAGTTCTGCATGGGTTTTCAATTGTTAGTGACGAAAAGAAGTCTCTCAAGGTCGTCATGTGATGCATGGTCACTCCCAGCCATCCAGTGATGGCTGCAACTCACTTTAAACCATCTAAGCGGTAGTTCATGGCCAAATCTACCAAGTCCCAAGTTCTATGTCCTCTCCGACACGACATGCCTTTCCGTTCTGCATCATGTCAGGGCTCAGGCTCGTTGCTGTTCAACTGACAGCCCATTTAGCAAGGCAATATCCCTTTCGTGCCCTCCTCTCCCCCGTCCTGAACAGAACCTTCCGTCTCTCCTTACCGGTCAAATTAACATCTCCCTTATAAGGGAGACGAAGGTCGCTATATATAGCGACCTTCGTGACCCCGAACCCTTGTGTGGTCCTGCACCACACCCCAAACACCAACAACATAACTCTGCTGACCTAGCGGCATGTCATTCGTCCCAGCGAAAGTACGCAGGACAGACCCTACCCAGTCCAGTAGGGACCGTCGGCCCCACGGTATCCGAGAGGCCAGCAGAGGGGCCATTCGAGCCACCTCGGAATGTCAGCGAGAGGGGCGCGGCTGGTCAAAGATCGCCCGGTGCGGCTCCCGTGCGGCGCGCGCCGCCCGTTTTGGACCGGTCCTCTCGGCCACTGACCAGTGCGTCATGCCGTCGATGCTAAACGAAATAGGTGGAATGCCACTGGTAAATATGCGATGGGATTGACGTTGAATGTTGATGTGAACCGGTGAGGTGGTGCCGGCGAGGATGACGGTATTTTCAAGGAGTGGTCGCCGATTGAGATGGAACCGGGGGCTCGTCGGGGTGGCCACGGGTGTTCGCTGTGTTGTATTTGCATTTGCGAGCCATTCATTTGAGCTGGGTGCATGCGATTCACTCGAGCGTGACTCAAGACGAAGTCACGTGGATCGGTTAGTTGTCTCGAGGTAGGAGCAGAGATCACCGTCAACACACTCTGTCCTAACACGAGAGTGAGACTGAAGCATTATGATCATGTATGTGATGACTGTAGGTATAGCTAACATGTGATAATAAAAAAATTGTATCGTGGTGGTAAGTAATAGGTAGGTATCTGTACGGAATTAAGCATACTTAACATCGGCTTAGGTCGTTTGAGGAAAAAATCTTGTTACCGGAAAGCCGGAGAGTAAAACCGACGGTAACGAATATTGACCGAGTGATATGCCCAGATCTGACGACTGACCAATTGCTTGAAGCACACACACTGGGCGTTAGAGCTTCAACTCATGCTGCCCCCCCCCCCCCCGTCACCTCACCCCAGCTCCGTGCCGGTGACCGGTGTCCCGCTCTGCACGTGCTCATGCCGGAATGATGTCGACTCAGCCCCTACTCACCGATCGCTTCGTCAGCCCGAGTCACCCTTCTGACTCACTGCTCAGCCGACTCACGGGACAATGACGGTGTTATGAGTGACGCTGTGCTGACGCGGCGCGATACAATACACTCGGCCAAGCCACGTGGGTCGGTAAGGGGCACCCACGGGGTTGCGGAGACGTAGTCACTGCGGTTACGGAAAGTCCCGGATACCACACAGAGTGACCGGAGTGGTGACAGCGGCAATCTGACCGGCAGTTGTTACAAGACGTGGAGCTCGGTCAAAGGACTAAGGAGGTCGTGGAGGGAAGGGGTGACCAGAGATCGGGTCTCATAAGTCAATTGTCAGAGCCTACTGAGCACCCTATTACAAACTGCTTTAGCTCATGAATGGTTATATTTTGATGTGAGGAGCAAGCAGCAACGCTTCAGCCGTGCCCCTCTGCCTTATACCTAATTACGGCTAATCACAATAGGTTTTTGTCGTTCGTGTCTGGAAGAAGGCGGCTAGAAACAGGGCATATTTTAACAAATTTTTACTGCGTCCCAAAGTTGAGCAGAGGGCACGTGCTACGACTAAGGGCACAGGGCAAGGAACAGAGTAGGGCACTGAGGAGGGCAGAAAGTAGGGCACGGCAGGTTACAGGGCATAGCACAGGACATTTTATAGGGAAGGGTACAGGTCAGGGCACACAGCAGGGCACAGGTCAGGGAACCGGACAGGGCACAGGGCAGGGACGCAGTGGGTCAAATCAAGATTACTTTACTACTCGGTCAAATCAGCAGGGGCTGCGTCCCAGAATGGGACGCAGTAAGTGCCTTAAAATATGCCCTGGCTAGAAATTAAAATATTGCTGTAGGATGCGCTCAATATAGACCCATGAGCATCTTCTGATAAAATTATAATTCAGTGTGCCCTAATGATACGATGAGGAAGGCTAATGTTTACCCCATCGTCGCCATCGGGCTTCTGGTTGCGTAAATCCCTAAAACCGGCTACTCTAATGGTCCGCAGATAGTAGTTCAGCATTTTCTCCTGAGATGGCGCTGCCTGTACCTTTGGGACTGAGGCGAGCGGGCGACCGCGGAGGCCTGTCGAGAGAGGGGCAGTTCGTCAGCTCGCTGGGGTGGGCCGGCGCATTCGCAAATCGTTAGGCGCATAGGCGGCGGAACGGGGAGGGCACCGGAGCACCGTGCCCCCCTTTGATTTTGGCATTTTAACATTAGCCCTATGGGCGTTGCATGGAAAGAATGGGACCAAAAGTCGGCAGTAGGTACCCCCCCTCTTAACCCGCGCCCCACTGGGGGGGGGGCTATTTATAGCCCCCCTCCAGTTTTTCTGCAATAACTTCCAAACCGCTTGACGAATCGACGCCAAACTTTCAGTACCTTCGGCTGCATCAATTTGACACCTTGTGTCAAAATTTGAACTTCGTAGCTACCATAGGTCGGCCGGAAATGACGTCAGAGTGACGTCATGTTGGTCCGATTTCGATGCAAAACATTGAACCACGGCAATCGCTCCCAAGAGCTCAGTTTTTAAGCTAGATCCAATTTCTTTGCATGAAAGAACTCAGAATTGACCGCGCTATCAAACTGCTATCTCGGATTTTCAAAATTTTGAAAATTTCGAAAATTTTATATAATAATATTCAAAATTTATATTTTTATATTTTTTTCAAAAAGTTTTTGACTTTTCGAAAAAAAAACCGGAATATATGTGACAGAACGCATGATTATGACTAACTCTAGCAAGTTTTAGCTAAATATCTTCAAAAATGGCCAAGTTATACGCATTATTGCAAAAAATTCACAATTATTAATTTTTCAAATCAATTTTTCAGTACGTATTTGGCATCGTACACCAATATAAATGGCACCATCGTGTTCCTGAGCTCAAACTGCATCCAATAGACACCTTTTTTGTTGAAAAATTTCAACTTCAAAATTTGACCTTTTTTGACCTGAAAGTGACCTGACTTAAGCTAATTTCGACTCCAAATGACCTTGAATGACACAGACGACATCAAATTCGAAATCTTTGGCCTAAATGGACCATAAAACATGTGTCACGTGACCGACGCATGATATAATATTTTCGTGACCTGTGATGACCTGACCCTGACCTGAAAATCAAAGTACAAGTTTGGTACCCTCAAGGTATCTAGAGCATCTGTTCACGAGTGTGGAAACCAAAAATGAGCCTGATCTGACTTGTAAGACGGAGCCCAAAATGTGAACAAGCCAAAGTGCTAATAATTTTTACTTTGACCTGACCTGTGACGTCATCGGTGACCTCGAGGTCAATGAAATTAGGTTTCGCTCGACAGTTTTCCGGGGCTATCAGACGCCGTTTGAATTTTGACGATCGGCCCAGTAGTTTCGGAGTTA